TATCAGAATCACGTCCATAATGAAGCCTATCAGCACGAGCAAAAGTTTCAAGAAAATTGTTGGTACCACAATCAACTGACGAATCACCAATTACGAACAAAGCAGGAACAAGAAATTCCTTAGTAGGAGAAAAAATTGGAGCTGGAGAGATAGAAAAAGAGGGCGAAAATGGTGGCCAAAAATCAAAAACAGAATCATGGGTTATGAGAGCTATGTTTTTTGGGTATACGAAAGAAATGGAGATGAACAGAATCTTGATTGCAGAGAAACCCATGAGCATTTCAATGCCCAGAAAAAGTTTTGTGCGCGGCTTTGTCACCTTGGGTAGGGAAATAATTCCCGCAGGCTGCACAGAGGTTATCCGGGACTGTTGCAATTTAAGTGTGGATTGCCTCGTAATGCAGTTTAAGTTTTTCCAGTGACGTAAACGTCCTATTACATTTGGGAACATCGCATTTGATGTTATCCAAAGCAGGAGCATCCCTAAGCATCTCTCTTTTTTTTCTCTCAGTAAGATCTTCATAATGATGAGGAGTTGTTTTTCCCATATGCTGAGTTATGGCAGCGGCGAGAGGCGAAGTTATAGCGGCGGCGTGAGATGAAGTTACAGGCGTTAAAAAATTGAAGTAACAGAGATACTAGTGATATTCTATCTATTTTTATATATATATATATATATATATAAAATATGACTTAAAAATTATTTTAATTTAAAAATCACTTAAAATAAGTTTATCCAAATGGGCATAAGGCTCAACATCACTTGTAAATTGCATGCTATGTCAATCTCTGTTGGGCCATCTCTACAGAGATATACCTGTTGGACTCTGTGCGAACTGACCCAACTACCGTATGCTGCCCAAATATTCAGAAATAGCCACTTTTCAGATCTAGCTCTTGTAATTGAAAGGTAGCAACTACAATGGATTTTAAATTCCATATGTGAAACTCCAAGACATTATTATGGAGTTTCACCTTTAAAATTTGAAATTCCATAATAGTGGCTATATTTTAATTACAGGACTAAAAAGTAGCTAACCTGCACTATTATTACCTCCAACCTGTTTTCCTTTCAGGTGCTTATTGGTGCAATTCTAACCAGGGACTTGTAGGTTAAAGGCATTTCAAAATTTTAAGATAAGAAATTATTTACTTAAATGAAAGGGTTTAACTTATTTATAATTTGATATACAATTTACAATTATATACAAATTAATATTAAATGAGTATCCCTAGATTGTAGTCTTTACTGTGGTGACCGAGTTCATACACTTCAACCAATTGCCCATTAATCTCTCTCTTCGTCTCTCTCTCTCTCTCTGTGAGTGTGTGCGCGCGTTCTTTCCTCTGCCTATTTCTTCTTTATTCGATATTCTCTGCTTCTCTATTTTTCTTATCTTTTTCTCATCTCCTTTCTCTCCTTTTTCTTCAAGGATTCAATAATGGATTTCACGTCGCTGCTTATCACCAGCAAACCAGTTACTGTCCGTGAGCCATTAACAGACATTAAAAAACTTGAAAGTTTTGAATTTAAATTCGATTTTTTTTTTTTGAAATTATTATTTATTTGGATTGGATATTATTGCAAATGATTGAGAGTATCCTTTGGAATTTATATCTCAATTATGAGGGTATTTGGTGAAGGATAGAGTTAATTTTGGTTCGACTTTCAGATTGAAACTCGAGAGGAAGGTTGTATTTCCAAGATTGTATTAAAATTGTATGAAATTTACATAAAAATTGTATTTAAGTTGTATTCTGTTGTTGTTGTATTTTTTGTATGAATGTTGCATTAAAGTTATAAATAAGTTGCATATTATATGAATCGTTGTATGAAATTAATATTAAGTTATAAATACTTTCTTTTACATAAATTTGTATATATGTATCAAAATTGTATTAAAGTTCTATTATGTTATATGATAATTGTATTTCAGTTGTATTATGTTGTAGTTGTATTTCAGATACGAGATAGATCTTCCAAAGAACAAGATCTTTTTCGAATAAGCAAATTCATTTGGGACCCTGCAGGTCCACTCTTTTTCCTATTCAAAGATCAGACCCTTGGCTTTGTGTTTTCACATCAAGGGTTATTTGCATATGTAGAGATATCAAAGGAGGCTTCTTACTTCCCAAACAGATTCTCATATATGTATAAATTTTGCTTTATCAAGAATACACGGATTATCCGATTGAAAATGATAACAAAATGCATAAGTCATTAGAAGGAGTTCTAAAAATTATACATATGGTATACCACCTAATTACCGTATTTCCTTCATAAGGAAGAAAGAAAAATTAGTATGAATGTTGTATGAAAGTTATAACTAATCTGTATATTGTATGAATTTTATATTTAAGTTATATATTACTCCCTCCGGTCCATAATAATTGATTTATTGGTTGTTTTCACTTAGATCAAGAAATTCACCTTTTCACATTAATTAATAATAAAATTGACCGTATTAACCTTTATTATCTCTTCACATTTTATTTTATTTTATTTTATATTTGACATAATGTCATTTTAGGATTTGGGATGTGATTATTATCAACTCCCACTAAACATTGAATGAAGCAACTGGCAGACGAAGCAACCGGCAGAACATTGAAAACTTTGTGAGCCAGGAACACTATTTACTCCTAACACATACTCAACATTATTTACTCCAAAGACAATGTAGAAAAAAAATAATTAATTCATTCTTAAAATCTGAAAAAATCAGATATTTTGGACGATAAAAAAAGACCAAAAAATCACTTATTGTGGACCGGAGAGAGTATTATAAATGTATTAAATTTATATTACAATAATAGCAACTCATAGTCGGAAGTAGCGAGAAAGAGAAAAATGATGAGCCGGGACGTGCTTCTGAGGCGCGCCAGGAAAATTATGTCAATGATGCTCATGGTATTAGAATGCTTTGGATGTTATGTCTGCTTGCACTCAATTCATGTTGTTTTTCATTTAATTTCATTCTGTGGAGACCTTAAACTGCCATTGCGAATTATAGTTAGTGCTGTAATTTGTTTAGATTTGGAGGTCTAAAGCCCAAATTTCATTAATACTGTTGAATTTGTCTCCAAACCAGCACATTTATGCTATGCTACTAGAGATTCTGATGTTGATTAACAGAGTAACATCGTGTGGCAAAATATTCTCTTTTTCTGGTGGCACTTGCATGTAAGTGCCAATTTTCTGTGATTATGCTAAGGTGCATTTTTGATCGTTACACTAATCAAATCATAAATCAATATGACAGGTGGAATGAGGTATCATTGCCTTTGGTTTGTAAGTTCCAGACTTCCAGTTATTAGGCAAAATACAATGTATAGGAGGGACGCGGCAGAAGAGAGGGAGGGAGGTTGTTGAAGATTAGGGAGAGGAGAGAAAAAAAGAAAAAGAGTCTTCACTGAATCCTTTAATTGAAGACGCTAATTATGATTTGAGAATCTTTAAGGGGGAATATATACAAATTTTTAAAGAAAACTCAGTTAGCTTTAAATAGGAAACTTTAATTAAAGCGGATAAATAAGTTTGTATTACGGTACTTTAAAATAAACCAAGCCTATCGGCAAAACCTTTAATAGACTTATGCACGTAACAGATCTTAATCCTTGGGCCAGGACTATGTTACTGGACTATCCATCGTACTGGGCCTAGAAATGTGTTTATGTGCAGAAAATAATTTTCAAAACGGAAAAGGTCCAAATATACCCTTGTACTATACGAAATTGAGCACATTTGTCCTTCGTTAATACTTTAGCTTAAATATGCTCTTACTGTCATATAGTTGGTCTATATATGCCCTTAGAATTACACAGTTGGCCCATATATGCCCTTTTCGAAACAGAATCCACACAAACTAATTAGCTCTTTCGTTAATTGTATTACAAACACTATTTCCTTTTTATTAGTACTTTTTTTTTACCTATCTCTTTTATTTCTTCTTTTTTCTTTTCTTCTCTTTCTTTTTCTTTTTTCTTTCACCCTTATCCGATTTCCCCCCATTACTGATGTGTTCTCTATTTTTGTCACCAATTTACTTGACAAAACTCATAAATTCCAATTACTAAGAAAATTCTCGCATAAGAATATTTTAATAGATCATATGTTTGTCAATTTTTTAATTTTTACTGAACATATATTTAGTTCTAAAAAATTTAACAAAGTAAGATTGAAATAATATTTATGTAACAAAAAACCCGAAAAATCCAACAAACCCGAACAATCCAAACCGATATAATTAGTTTGGTTTGGTTTTGATAAAAACTGAACCAACCCGTTCTATGTACACCCCTAATTTACATAGTTAATAAAAAAATATAAAATGTCCAGCTGAAAAAAGATGAAAAAAGACTAACAACTCAAATTTATAATACTATAACTTGAACTCTAGGCTTTTAATCATTAAATTATCTTTCTGGAAACAATTTAAATATTTTGGTCTTTTGAGTATTGTTAAAGGTTGAGATATTTTTATTATTTTAAAGTTTAAACCATAATTTTTGGAACAATTTAATTTCGTTTATTTAGAGGGCTAGTGAAATTGGAACTTGATTACCTTATGGGAGAATTTTCTTAGTGATTGGAATTCATGAGTTTTGTCAAGTGAAATTAGTAACAAAAATGGAGAAGATATCAGTAATGGAGGAAACGGATAAGGGAGAAAGAAAAAGGGAAAAAAAAGGGAAGAAAAGAAAAAAGAAGAAAGAAAAGAGGAAGGTAAAGAAAAAAGTACTAATAAAAAGAAAATAGTGTTTGTAATACACTTTAATACAATTAATGAAAGAGCTAATTAGTTTGGGTGAATTCCGTTTTGAAAAGGGCATATATGGGCCAACTGTGTAATACTGGCGGACCCAGAATTTTGTGCAAGCGGGTTTAATTTTACAAGTACATAACTTTAGTCGTAAAATAGTAGTTGTCAAGTGGGTTCAAATAAAATATTTATACAGTTTTAATTCTAATTTATACATATACACAGTATTATTTTTTGGCGAAGCGGGTTCAGTTGAACCCGCTAGCCACCACCTGGGTCCGCCACTGCTGTGTAACTCTAAGGGCATATATGGACCAGAGGACACTGAATTTGATCTCCATTTGCCAAGAATAGCATATGGATAATGGTACAAAGAGATCCTTTTCTGATATTTAAAGGAAACTTGAAACAGCATCAAATTACTCCATGCAAGCATTATTTGCAACTTATAATCACTTAGCTTAATCCCTCTGTCATGCGGTTACATGTTTCAATTCCCCCTATATCCCTAAGTTCTTCCTAACATTATTTAGCTCAATCGTTAGAGAAATGTCTGCTTTTAGAGAGCAGCATTACTTTTCAAAGTTTTTTTCAGTAATTTTGAATTCTTCAGAATCTGTGTTGGGTAATGTGGATAATTTTCTCGCTTTACCCTTTTGTATGCTCTAGATGGATAAATTTAAAAGAAAATCTAGAATAGTTTTCTGCAATTGCTAGGTGATAAAATTTATCTAGAAATAGTTCTAGACTTCTCCTCTAGCACTATAAATAACTCATTTTGTGATCTGGTAATGTAGGAGTGGAGTTTCAATACATTCTGAAATGTGCTTAACGTCTATATCCTTATTCCGTCCTCTATATGTCTTATGATATTATGTAAGGCCAACTTTATATTCCAACAGTTTATGGGATGTATACTGTTGGCACATAACTTGTATAGACCCAAGATCTTGAATAAGCAGTTGTGATGGGAGTCATAGGACTAGCTCCAATAGGCTGTGCTCCTCCTACCTATGCCTACCTTACTACTCATGGCTATGCCACAGCCGAGGGCAGGCATGCATGGATACCGTAAATGGCATAATACTAGGATACAACTTTTCCAAGAGATGGTTACAGAACTTTATGAAGATGTGGTGGCTGCAACTGCCATCTTCTTATGCATTTGCAAGCTCAATGTGCATCATTCCAAATTGTGACTGCTATTGTGAGCAATCCATAGGATATTCTTTTGATGGAGTGCATCATATATAGTGGAACTCAAACCCACCATTTCTTTACCATTTCAATTTAGGTTTCGGCGTCAAAGAAGACACTGTGGTTTAGGCAAACACAAAGGCTGTATTATCAATTATGCGCATTTTCCCGGGAGGGGCATGCCGAGATGCCTCTAACGATATCTGGTGAGCCCAATTTCCCAATCAATGATGTGATTAATGCATCCCTACATGATGATTTCTGGTCCATCCTACACACAACTGTTGGGCTACCCGTGAGGACCTAGGCATCTCATTGCATGCAAATTAGCATTGTAATTCCTGAAGATATGATCACCGCATAACTTGTTTAGATTTTTTTATTATGTTTTAGGTAACATTTCTGTATTTTCAATTTTTGTTATTGCAGAGAAATGATGAGCAGGTTGCTGGATTCATATTCACTGCAATTGTGTACCATTGTATTCACATTTTAACAAAAGAATTTGCAAATTTCATCATCATTTCATGTTTTGACACAAAGCTAGGAAATATGGCTGTCGTATCTCTGCATAATATCATAACTCGTCATGTCAATTCATTACAGTCATTAGAAGATTGGTATGATTCAGCTTGAATAACCTGGGAATGAGGATTTTTTTGAGATAAGCAAAATACCTGGTAATATAGCCTATTAACCAATATGTGCAAAGCTTACACACAAAAAAAGAATTATGCCGAACTTCGTTTCCATTTTGATCAGTGTTAATAGCTAAATATTAATCATAATTTTCCCTTCTTGTAAAGCTAGTCAAAGTCATCTATGCTGATATGGGGTCTTTGAAAAATCTATAAGACCAATGAATACATTTCATTGAAGTCCAAAAGTTTCAACACATCACTCCATCTTTGCTATGCAAGTGCCTTGACAATGGTGCAACCAAATAACAGGACTCTATGGTAATCTAGTAATATAGAAAGCAATGTAATAGAATTCGAGAATTATTTTATAATGGAATTGCAGTGTTCTTTAGTAGAGATGGATTCCTAACTACAAAATTCTTCCATTATTGCGTATGTATCTTGTTTTTTTAAAAGTCACTCTTGTGTATCTATCTTTAGATCTCATTTAGAATTGCCTCCTCAAAATATATTTATAGCCAAGATATAAATTAGGGTTAAGTATGACAATTAACTAACTTAAACTATAGAATTACCATATTGTAGTCTAGTAAGCTTAATTGAATGAGAGTACCTTGTTGATAAAAATTTCTCCTTTATCATCAGAAAGCACCGAGTCTAACTCGGATACTGGTGCCACAATCATCTCCCTCACCTGAAATCAAAAGGAAAAGAAGCAAGGTTTATTTAGCTATCATTAGATGTCATAATATTTTACTTCTTGTTTAGTAGAGCCCGTTCCCATTTGTCATGTAGTTTAATTGCAAATGAAGCATCAGAAAGAAAATGTTCGATGAAGTACTTCCTAAGGAAAGATAAGTGCGTCATAAATATAGCACCAAGGAGGTGCTGTCAAAAGTATTTACATATCAACCGAGAAACGAGATTACACCTCAACTCAAAATATAAGAACTATTGCTAGTATGGCTGAATTGAATACAAAGGATAGAGGAGGAGGGATGAGAAGCTTAGACCAGAAAAGGGGGATGAGAGGACACAAAATTCTTCTTCACACTACGCATGTCGTTCCTTGCTAACTCCTAACCCCTTTTTAACCGGTTCCCAATTTGCACCATTGATTTCTTTTCCAAGCCCACTAACCTGGGTCCCAGATTAACCTGTGAAGACCTCCTGGCCCTGTTGCTTGTTCTCGGGCCAATAGCTATTTGTGTTACATCCTTGTTGGTATCCCATATTGGACTAGGGCTGATTCACAACAGATTCTATGAGATCTATAGCTGCTTCAGCATCATTGACAAGTCTTATTTATACCAACTAAAAATAAAGTAAGCAATTCATTTGATCTTCTAAAAAGGAATTTTCTGTCTTCGAAGCATCTATAATTTCTCTCCCTTCAGACTATCCACCATATACATGCAGGAACAGTGTACTCCACTTTTTTTTGTTGTCCTCCCTCTAATGTTCCAGCATTTCAGCAGCTCACACATATCCTTTGGGATAATCCATTTAAGTCCCTCCATATTAAGAAACCATTGTCATAGCTGAGCGGTAATATGGCAATGCAAAAATATGTGATTAATAGCCTGTTTGGCCAAGCTTCTTTTTGGGCCAAAAGTATTTTTTTTTTTGCCAAAAGCATTTTTGGCCAAAAATTGAGGTGTTTGGCCAATCTTTTGGAAGGATAAAAAGTGTTTTTGAGGAGAAGCAGAAGCGGTTTTTGAGAAGCAGAAAAAAGTAGCTTCTCTCCAAAAGCACTTTTCTGAGAAGCACTTTTGAGAAAAATACACTTAGAAGCAGTTTTCAAAAGCTTGGCCAAACACTAATTACTGCTCAAAAGTGCTTTTCAAATTAATTAGCCAAACACAAACTGCTTCTCACCAAAAGCACTTTTTAAAAAAGTACTTTTGAGAAAAGTACTTCTCAAAATAAGCTGATTTTAGAAGCTTGGCCAATGAGGCTATAACACCGTATGGCTTGCCTCTACATAAACAGCTTTTCAAACATAATTGAAAGTTGTGTTAAACAAGCCTTTGAGTTACCAACCAACAGAAACATGCCACCTTATAAGGAGCATTTGATTCCATCAAGCACTTGTTCTCTGAATTCTTTGCACAAAACTAATGCAAATAAACACGCCTACATAGAGCAGAGATTCTCACCCTACCTGCAAATTAGGCTACTTGCTAACAATCCAAGCTGGAAACTCTTACTACCCAAAGCCTAATACTTTGTTAGCTTAGACTGCCTTTGAATACATTCCTTGTTTTACTCGATGAGAGAACCAAAATTTCCCACCAATTGCTTGTTGGGCAGATGAACATTGTGGCCTCTCTTAAAGGTCTTGACATTTTCTTTGAAGAATCTCACTCGTCTAATATGCAATATCATTTTTTTAGACGCTAGTGTCTAGGCCAGCTTGTTCGCACCTCGACTATTCCATCGGGTACCTGCTACTGCTACCGCCCACCAGCACGGTAACTCTTTCCACCAAGGCTTGGAAAGATGGAACGAAATCACCTAGTGTTTTTGCCCCAGCTAAGATTTGTAACTGTTCTTATGGCTCTACTCTCATTTCAATGAACACTAGGTCACACCCTTGGGTGCATCTAATACGCAATATCATTTGATAAACTGAAAAGAGATGTCGAATAGTTAGGAGAGGAAGAGATGGAGGTGTTTTTAAGATAATTTAAGAAGTTACTTTTTTTTAATATAGCACATACATGAGAAATAAGTAAAAGAAACGGAAGCTAGAATCTTAGAAATTAAGGATAATCATATACACGAAACCTTAATATAATTTTTCTTTAATAACATACTAGACATTGATAAGAAAATGTGTGCTTTTCTTTTTCTTTAAATAGCTTTTGTGAAATTCACAAGTAGTTGAATTACCACCTTTTTCTAGTTATATGCATGGATACTTCTGCTTAAATTCATTAAGGGGTCGTTTCGTTCAATTGTGGGATAGACAAGGATATTCATCCCATGGGATTAGCTATCCCACCTTCTCTATAAGATAGCTAATCCCACCATTTTGGTATAAAATTTATCCGGGATTAACTGATACCCATAACTAAACATGGGATAAATACAATCCCAAATTCTATTCCAACATTTAGAATCCTTATCTGGCAACCCAATGACCCCTAAAGGTATACACTGCACGTGGTGCCAGTTTTCCACCAAGTCAAATTAACTATCAGGTTTGTGATTACATTTGATGTATCCAGTGAAGATGAGACACCCTTATCTCTACCAGATATATCATTGCCAAGGAGCAACTTTGCTAAATCTTCCTTCATCAACTGCAAATCTAAACGGGAAAAGAAGAACAATAGGTTATAGATAGAGAAGAACCGGAGAATGTTGTGTGTTTTTGATGTAAGATATAATGTGGAATCTCCTTCATGTATAAATAACTTAATTAATCTACATGAATTTACTTTGGAATACAAACAGGTGCCGGAAGTTGTAAAGTATGACTTTTAGGCTTTTCAAATGAAAGAATGAGAGTAAAAAAGAACAAAAAAGAAGAAAAAAAGATAAATATGATTCTTAGTTTACAGATGTGTTGCATCACCTTACTTAAGACCAAATATTATATAATATACTAGTAAATTTAAAGAGTTCGTTGAATATGAGTCGATTTTCCCATGTGCGACGCAAGTTATACTTGCAAATGATAAAAATTCTGTACTGGAGTTCATTGATCCCGTGTGTAATTGAGGTAAAAAACCAGCCAATAACGTCGCTAGACAATTCCTCCTTGGTGTTGTTAAAAAGATTAGTTATCGAAAAGTTTCAGTTGGTTGTACCTCAATATAAAAGAATCAAAGCAACCAAGTCAATCAAATAAATGTGATAATGCAACAAAAGGCTAAACTGATAAAAAGCAAATATTAACATATAGTACGTAATTCTTATTGATCAGCTTTGCCAATGTAACAGATGCAAGTATAACGTCTTCTGATCTCGAGCACCATAACATCAGCATATGAAATTATCAAGCAAAATATTTTACAGGTATATTGGTAGACAACGGTCCTTCTTAAGTGGGATATATGTGTGTCCACAATAGCTGAAATTTACTAACTTGTTTACTATTGAACCTGGGATCAAACCTGCTTCAGCCTCCAACCTTTAGATAAGACACAGACAACTAAAATGACATGTTCGAAGGAGATAAATGTAGGGGGAATCAAATGAGAGAGTTAAAATTTGCAAACTAAATATTTCCTTTTTTATTGTTATTTTGCAAACTAAATATCATAAGCCTCAATAGTCTATTAAACACAACAACAATCCACCAGCCAAGATTACAATGAAGGAGAATAAACAGATTAACTTAGCTTTAAACTGATAATACGGTAAAAATAATAATTTAAAACAAACAATAAGTTGCAATCACATTATTAGTGATGGCATAACCCAAGTTGGTGGGCAAATAAGGCTTATTGACAATCCAGATCCAGGATAAAATGATTCAATTTTTCCATCTTCTAGATTGTAAGCCCCCATATCTCTTCCAGCCCCTCCTTCCACATTTCTAACATATTCTAACCAATCATCAGTAAAATATATGTGATTAGGTTTGATTCCTGAAAACTTAGAACAGTCAATGCAACTTGCTCCATTGCGGCCCAAAAAAATTGATAAATCTCCCAAGGTTTTAATTTCCTCTTCCTTGAATTTACCTTTGGTTATATCTAGTTCAGATATTTTAAATTTAAAGCTCTTAAAAGTACCGTTTGGATCCTCATCTATGCTCTCGATTGCATATCGAGTAACAAGTAATAGTGCACCGGATAACTCAACTAGGTAGAACTGAACTGAAGGCAGTTTAAACATATCATCTTCAAGCTCAGCAAGCAAGCGTGTCTGTACACTTGGTTGCGTAATGTTAGGCCCTGCAATATCATAAGCCCATACTTCGCCACGGTAACTCACTGAATAAAATTGGCCCTTACAAAAAATCATATTGCAGACTCCACCATCAGTAACAACATCAATCTCCGTCCAATTAAGATCTCCGGGTCGCCAAAAAGCCAAACAAGAACCTCCTCCATAATAGTGCACCAACAGCGCATAATCTGATGTAAGAGATGGATTTGCAGATAAGATAGCTTTGTCTATGCAGTGCCAACGCTTTCCTCCACGTGGTCTTTCGAGATAATCGAGACCATGAAAAGACAGTAAGTCTTTTCGGGAGGGAAGCTGTATATTGATTCGAGATAAAGGATGCAACAAGTTCATCTCCCCCGTATTATTTGCCACGGTGCAAAGCCATCCCTCGGATGGTAAACACTCTCGTCCTCTAGCTTCCGGGAGAAATATGCTTGAAACTTTCTTCTTGGAAAGAGAGTAAAATTCTCGATAATCGTCATCTTTGGCACCCAACATAAGCAACGAGACTTGGGGCGAAAACACATCAAAGTTTTCCTTTGTAGCAGCAGTTCGCCACGAGGTACAAACAGTACCAAAAGCAATGAAATCTTCAATCACTTTAACACGCTTTGCAATATCAGTAATCAGATCGATGGGCAACTCTGCCCAGTTCGCCATAGTTTGAGGATGTGAGGCTTCTCTATTTCTAGGGCAAGGAAAAAGAACCGCTTCCATAGCAAGACAAATGAATCTAAGGACATATATATAGGCGAGCAAGCAAATTCCTATATTGACATGGATTTTGAATACTAATGACAAGCCCAGATTTTTTCTAATTTAGGAACTAGGAATTGGACTGGGCGTGCAAGTAAATTCCTATATTGACAAGGATTTTGTGGATAACAAGCCCAAAAAATTCGGAACTTGTTGGATTTGGACTCGAATTGTACAACTAGTATGATAAAGTTCACGATTAGCCATTTTTAGAGTATGTATTGGAAAAATAGCCGCAGGTTCAAAAGTGTTGCAAATTAACTATTTTTAAAGCAAAAATAAAATTTGAAAAAAAATACAGTAAAAATCACACAGACCTACTTTTTCTGCATTTTCTCAGAATCGCATCAATAATCCTCCACTCTTTACATCAAGGGTTATATCCCTGGGAAAGAAGAGATGAAACAAATATATATTATAAAGTAAGACCTACCAACCCAGATTCGTATCATCTCCCGTTCGTCGCCGTCGATTATCCCGATTTGAAGCTTCCCAATCTTCGGCAACTAGAACCGCCGATGATAACAAACAACAGCTTCAGTTTTTATACTTAGGTTTGTCGATTATTTTGATTCAGATATGTTAATACATGTTTGTTGAGGATTTGGTATTTGAAGGTAAGAATATTTGGGGGCTTTCAAAGCGAGATTCTGATTCAAGGAAAAATTAGAATTATCACATTGTGCGAATTTTCTAAATCAAAGAAGCATTGTCTGTCTGAGTTTCTAGATCATCACCAGTTACAAAGATGGATGCTCATTGTGGAGTTTAAATTTGACAGGTTTTAAATTCTGGAGTTTAATTTGGAGGAGCTTGAACTCCATAATATCATGTTGGGAGTTTAACCTATATATAAGAATACTAAGGACCGTTTTGCCATAGATTTTGCTAAAATAAACTTGGGTTTTATTTGTCAAACACATGTTTGACCATAGATTTTGCCTACATTTTAGCCAAATCCCAAATCTCAAATACCAAATCCCAAAACCAGCTCAATAGTTGGTTTTTGGGCCAAAATATCACTATTATATTTTTTAAAAATTCCCCAAACTTTTGTATTTTATAAAAGAGCCCACCATTTATTATTTTGTAACGATGTTGCTTCGTCTTCTTGGTCATCTGATAGTGTATCATGTAGTTCATTATAAAAATGATAATTTTGTATCAAATTTATTTATGTTCAGGACTATGGTTTGCGATATTATAATTAATGTTATTGATAATGGTACTGTTGGGTATTTGTGATAGTTTTTAGAACTTGTGGGTATAAGTCATGTTTAATATTTTTCCAAATCAAACTTCACCCAAAATAGATGTCCAAACACATTTCATCTTCAAACCAAACTTCACTCAAATCAGATTTTTCAGAATAAATTTGGGAATCTATGGCCAAACGCTAGCTTAGTTTGTATTTAGCTAATCAATTTGAAAAGCACTTTTGAGCAACAATTAATGTTTGGCAAAATTTTAAGAAACTGATTCCAAATGTATTTTTCTTAAAAGTATTTTTCAAAAAGTGCTTTTAGGGAGAAGCTAAATATTGTTGCTTCTACTCAAAAGTATTTTTTTTCCCACAACTTTGAAAAAAAAGTACTTTTGGCCTAGAGAAACTTGGTCAAATAGATTATAGCAGTGGCTATTGCTAATTACATTTGAATTTGCGATTATCTTTCAATTACCGATCCGAAAAATGGCTAACTTGTGCAATTTTTACTTGAGACTCTGAATCGTGGCGCAAAGGTCTAACATGTGTTGAGACGGCTCACATAATTATCATTCGAATTGAGAAATGTATATTGTTAATTGCCTCCAAAACTAATAGCCGACAATGTATATTTTTTGTATATATGCGTATTATATACGGAAAATATACATACTTTATATAATTTTCGGATAGCAAATACATTAATTTCGACTGACCAACCAATTTTGTATTTTGCTTTACTTCACACAACCCAAACATGGTATATCTACTTGCATTCTAGCTCAGCCAGATAAGGAAAAGGGAAAACAAAAGTCCAAAAAGATAAGTGTATTAGATTTCTTAGTTACATTCTTTTCGTTCATATTGATTTTATTTCTTTCAATGTACAAACTTATGTAAGTTCACTGATTATTTAATGCTTTTTATTGTGATATATTTGATTGAACATAGCTTAAGTTACATTACATTTTTCCACTGTTGTAGAACAGCATTGACGGAAATATGCAAGAAAACATGGTCCTAAATAGGGTGAAAAAGCTCCGTAGAGACGTTATATTTGTGAACTGAATACCAAGGAGGCATATTAAGTTAAAGACATAATATTTGTGAACAGAATATCATAGGCCTAAATCATTCGGAGAAAATAAAGATAGAACTGATTAAAAACTTAGTAGGTGTTTGGACATAAAAATTATAATTTTGAAGAAAAGAAAAGGTAGTATTTGGAGTTAAAGTTGAAATATAATATTTGAAATTTGAAATTGTGTTTAAACATGTATTTTACTTTTAAAAATGTTACAATTTTATGAGTGGGAAAAAAGTTTTTTCTAAAAATATTGAAATTTTGAAAAACTCGCTTTCGAAAAATATCCAAATACTTGCAAAATTTTATGGAGGGGTCGGGCCTATGCGAAAGGCGTGGGCTATAACACACGTGAATCAGGCAGATGACAAAAAACGAGGAACGGTCATGGCAAGGCGGTGACTATTATTTCTTAGATCGTTTTTGATGGTTTGGAAAAATATTTAGGCGATCAGGTTCCGAAGGCCCGGCCCAATATGGAAGGCGTGGGCTATGGCACATGAAAATCAAATAATAGAGCGAAATTCCAGTTTTATGGCCGTAAAACGCCAAATAACGAGGAACGGTCGTGGCGGGGCAGTGAATATTGTTTCTTAGGTCATATTTATGGTTCAAAAAAATTTAGGCAATCCGGATCAGGGGGCTCGGGCCCATACGAAAGGCGTGGGTTATAGTACACGAAAATCTGGATTTCGGACGGAATTCCAGATTTATGGCCCTAAAATGCCAAAAAACGAAGAACGATCATGGCTGGGCAGTGACTATTGTTCCTTTGGTCATTTTTGATGGCCCGAAATATTTTTAGGTGATCTGGGTGCAGGGACCCGGGCCCATGCGGAAGGTGTAGGCTATAGCATATGAAAATCAGGTAATCGGGTTAAATTTCAGTTTTATGGTCCTAAAACGCCAAAAACGAGGAACAGTCATGGTGGGGCGGTGACTATTGCTTCTTAGGTCATATTTGATGGTCCGAAAATTTTTTAGGTGGCCCGGGTCTAGAGGCCCGCGCCCATGCGAAAAGCGTGGGCTATAGCATATGAAAATCAGTTAATCGGGCGAAATTCAAGATTTATGGCCCTAAAACACAAAAAACGGGCACGGTCATAGCAGGGAGGTAACTATTTTTTCATAGGTCATTTTTGATGGCTCGAAAAAAATTTAGGCGACCGGATCCCAAGGTCTAGGCCTACGCGGAAGGCGTGGGCTATAAATTTGGGAATTGAGCGACATTCAAGTTTTATGACCTTAAAACGCCAAAAAACGAGGAACGGACATGGCTGGGTGGTGACTATTGTACCTTTGGTCGTTTTTCATGGCCCAAAAAAATTATAAGCGATTTGGGTACGGGGGCTCGAGGCCATGCAAAAGGCATGGGTTATAGCACACGAAAATCAGAAAATCGGGCGGTACTCCAGTTTTAAGGCCCTACAAAGTTAAAAAAAATGAGGTACGATCATGGGGGGAGGGGGTAACCATTGTACCTTAGGTCATTTTTGATGGCCCAAAAACTTTTAACCGATCTGGGTACGAGGGCCAGGGCCCATGCAGAAGGTGTGGGCTATAGCACACGAAAATTAAAGAACCGGGCAAAATTCTAATTTTATGGCTCTAAAATGCCAGAAAATGAGGAAAGGTCACAACACGGCGGTGACTATTGTTCCTTTCATCATTTTTATGCCCCGAAAAGTTTTTAGGTAATCCGGGTCCAGGGGCTCAGGCCCATGCAAAAGGCGTGGGCTATAGCACACAAAAATTCAAAAATCGGGGCGGAATTCCAGTTTAATAGCTTTACTTGCAAGATAATCATCAATTAGGCTCTTGTAGGCTTTGAGGTTTGTTCCCCTCTCCCAAGTATTCTCCTCTGCATCACACCCCTGCCATTTCACCAAGAACTCTTGGTGATCTTTCCTTGAGGCGTGAATAACTCGATCATCAAGAATAGCTTCAGCACGTCTTTTCCCGGTTGAATTGGGGCCTCGAATACATGGTATTGTGAGTTGGCTTCGTGAAGGATCCTCCATTTCTTCGCGAAAAGGTTTCAAGAGACTGACATGGAAAACATGATGGATTTTTCACCAAGCTGGGGTATCCACCCGGTATGCAACTTTCCCAATGCGCCTTTCAATGGACAAGGGTCCAATATATTTTTGCAATAGGCAAGGGTCATGGACCCCTGCAAACAAGTACAGCTTTGGAATTTTGACCATCACTTTGTCTCCCACTTGGTATTCAACAAAGCGACGATTCTGATCAGTATGCCTCTTCATCCGCTTTTGGGCTTTGACAAGATAGCTCCGCACTATCTCCAAATTTTGCTTCCATTCTTTTGATAAGCTAGCAGCCGGAGGAGATTTTGACATGTTTGGTGCGTTCACAGTATGTGGGTGTAGCGGTTGTTGTCCGGTAACAATTTCAAAAGCATTTTTGTTGGTACTTGAGCTCTTTTGTGAATTGAAACACAGTTGAGCAACATCTAGAAGCTTCACCCGGTTCTTCTGCGATCCGGTTACAAAGTGTCGGAGATATTCCTCTAGCATGCCATTGAATCGCTCCGTCTGGCCATCAGATTGTGGATGAAAACTTAAGCTATGACTCAATTTTGACCCGAGACACTTAAAGAGTTGGGTCCAAAAGTTGCTAGTGAAGCGTAAGTCGTGATCACTAACAATGTCTTTTGGTAAGCCCCAATATTTGACCACATGAAAGAAGAAGAGTCGAGATGTATCTTCTGCTGATATATATTGTGGGGCTGTTATAAAGGTAGCATATTGGAAAACCGATCCACCACAACCAAGATAGTTGTGAGATCTCCAACCTTGGGCAATCCGGTGATGAAGTCCAGGGAAACGCTTTCCCAAGGCCTTTTTGGTACAGCTAGTAGTTCCAAGAGTCCTGATTGCGTCAAATGGTCTGACTTATCCTTCTGGCATACTAGACAAGTCTTCACATATTGAGCGACGTCATCGACCATTTGAGGCCAATAATATGCACGGCGAAGCAATGCCATGGTGCGTTCCTCA